CAGCAGCCATGGCGCACGGGCCCAGCCGCTCCGCGGCATGTGGGATCTTCCCGGACCGGGGCACGAACCCGCGTCTCCTGCACCGGCAGGCGGACTCTCAAGCACTGCGCCACCAGGGAAGCCCCAGTGAATTTTCTTTATGTAGCTCAAATGTTCTTGAGAGTGAGGAGAAGTTGACCTCTTAATCTGATATGGTTATGCAGTTAGCTGCCTGCTAGGCTGCTTCCATCTTTTATTTACTGAGCACACATATTTTACTCAGGCACTGAGTTAGAGAACAGAGGTCCTGCCCTCAGTGGCATTATGGCCATTCTAGGTTTTTTTTTAAACAACTTTAAAAAAAAATAAAAATATGTGCAGCTTGAGGCCCACTTAGATGACTTCAAGAGCAGGTGATGATGGGTCACAACTCACTCCTGTGAGTCATAGACACTGTTCCAGTAGAGGATGTAATCATTAAAACCATTGATAATTTAGTGTAAGATTGTTATGCCAGAAATAGCCACAGTCTGTTATAGGAGAGCAAAAGAGGAGGCCCTGACTCACATTGGGTCAGGATGGGTAGACAGTTGCGTCAGGAAATACTTCCAAGAGGAGGTGGACGTTTGCGGATGAAGGAGAAGGACAGACAAGTGGGCGGGGTCTGATAGTGTGACTTGTCTGGGCAGAGGGAACAGTTTGAAGAAAGGCATATAAGGCTTTTATCATCACGTGCTATTCTGGTTACAGCACATAGTATAAATCTTTGTGTGTTTTTCTAACTGTAGTTAACCAAATCTTTTATTTTCAACATATTAATCTTTTAGGAAGAATAAACATTAACTTCTTTACTTTGATTTCTTTGTCTTCTTAATCCTTAACCCTATTGGGTTTCATCTCTATACATACTATTAAGAAAGAAAAAGAATAACACTACCCATTAGATTGTGACATGCTATCAGTTGTAAGATATATTGTGATTTCAAAGATATTTTAAAAAGTGCATCTAGGATTAATACTTATGATATTTGTGTTGGAGATTCTTCAGTTTCTTTTCATCTAAGAAATACTTGCTAGAATAATGGTAGCAGTTCCATGCCTTTTCAGCTCCAATTTTAGGGGTTACTCTAGGGAAGTATGTACCATCCAGGTCAATGCCAGCTTAATTTATCTCGAGAGCTTTTAAATCTGTGATGATTATAATGACATTAGCTTTGATTGAGTAGTAGAGATTAGGGGAAATGGATTTTGCTAAGATTAGGAAAGATAGGGTTTACTAAAGACTATAAAATAGAATTAAAAACTGAAGTAATGTGTAGTGACTTTCGGATAAGTTATCTGCGAGTTCTTAGCTTTCAAAAATAAATGTTCAGACTCACAACTCTGCCATTCTGCCCCTCCTCCCCTTCCCCCATCATGTTGAACTTATTCACGAGCTGAAAAGTCTTGGTAATTCAAAAGTGTCCCTGAAGAGTGTCACGCCATGGTTCATTCTGACAGCAGGTTCCTAAAGAATTATGCTTTCCGAGCAGAGAAGCACAAGCCATGCCTTTACGGGTGCCACTATGTGCCCATGGTGGGTGATGAGCATGCGAGACTGGTTCTGGCCAGAGGCCCGGCTTCCAGAAGCAGTTGGTTGTGTAAACCTTCACTAGCTCACAGTATGGAGAACAAATCATGGATCCTGTAGTAGACACAAGCGGTACAGGACAAGGCATGAAAAGGCTGAAGAACCGCGGAAAACAGGACCTACTCCTGGTTATTAGTGAAATGTAGTTACAGCACTTAAAGAGAAGATAATTTTTAAAAATATTCTCACTGATTTGAAGTTTTGATTTATAAATTGTGGTTTATAAATATATTATATAAAAATATATAATTTTTATATAAATATATTATTTATAATATATTATTAGATCTTAAAAAGCATAGGCTATGAGGGGACTTCCCGGGTGGTCCAGTGGCTAAGACTCTGCGCTCCCAATGCAGGGGGCCCGGATTTGATCCCTGGTCAGGGAACTAGATTACACATGCCACAATGCAGTTCCCGCGCGCTGTAACTAAGGCCTGGCGCAGCCAAACAAACAAATAAATAAATAACTAAATTTAAAGCATAGGCTGTGAAATCACATAGGAAAATATTTACCATTAGAAGAATAAAATAAATATGAGTGAACAAGAATAAAAATATATTCCAAGGGCTTACCTGGTGGTGCAGTGGTTGAGAATCTGCCTGCCAGTGCAGGGGACACGGGTTCAAGCCCTGGTCCGGGAGGATCCCACATGCCACAGAGCAGCTAAGCCCATGGGCCACAACTACTGAGCCTGTGCTCTAGAGCCCACGAGCCACAACAACTGAAGCCTGCGTGCCTAGAGCCCGTGCTCCGCAACAAGAGAAGCCACCGCAATGAGAAGCCCGCACACCGCAACAGAGTAGCCCCTGCTCGCTGCAACTAGAGAAAGCCTGTGCACAGCAACAAAGACCCAATGCAGGCAAAAACAAATAAGTAAATAAATTTATTTTTAAAAAAATTCCACTTGTTCTGAAGAAACTGGTATAGCATTAAGGTCCTTCAGTTCTGGACTTGTTTGCACTGGATCCAGGAATTACCAATTTTATTCCAAATTCTATAGATTCCAGGCCATTTATGTTAGTATTTAAAAGACCCCCAACTTTTAAAGATAAATTCCTCTGTGGGTTAGTGAGCAGAAATAACTGTTTTATTTCTTATAAAAGAGAAATGTGTTTATAATATCCTAGAAGAACTGAAGGAAAAGTGCTTGTTGAACAGACTGGGTGTATCTTACTTAGATCATGAGTAGTGTTTCCTCAGTTCTGTGGTATGGTGGAAGTTTTATATTTTGTCTGTCATTCGTGGAGTCGACCAGATTTCACAGTGCCTCCCATACATCAGATACTGATCAGGCAATGGGAACAGAAGATTCAAAAGTGAATTGCTTGGAGGCAGTAGAGCCTAGGGTGATGTAATAAAGATGTGTGTGAAGAGCTACTGGATCACAAAGGAAGGAACATGTAGCCTCCTTGGTGAGAGGAGGTGGTGAAGGGAGGTTTTGCAAAGGTGGTAGCATATGAGCTGAGTTTTGAAGGGTGAATAGGAGTTTACAGGCAAACAGGAAGGGCACTGGGGCAGAGGGACAGCGGCCTGAGAGAACTTGGACTTGAGGGAGCAAGGTTCATTGTGGGAAGGCACTAGGACTGGAAGGCTAGGAAGGTTGTGAGGAATCTTTTACCCATGATAGGAGTTTGCAGTTTATCCTGTAGTCTAGGCTTTCTCGGAGGGCATTCTGTGGAAATCCAAGCCCCATAAGAGTCTCTGGGGGAGAAAAGTTAGAGATTCGCATGAACATTACAATGTTAGACTCTTGAGTGCTCAGTAAAGAAACCAGTTTCCTGTTTATAAACCCGAATAAATGTTTGGGGAAGGATTGCTATTAGGCAGTGCAGGGCTCCTGAATATTTTAAGCAAGGGAATGACTTCAACTGATTTACATTTAGGAAATTAACTGGCAACAGTGAAGGGGTAGGTTGGAGTAAGGGGAGATTGGTGGCAAGAGAACAGTTCATAACTATTACTAGTTTTGGTAATAAAATCTGGCCGTCAGTATAGAGATGTTTAATCTCAAAATTTAGGAATTTAGGGCACTTCTAATAAAAACATATTTTAACAATGAACTAAAATACTTAGTTGACAGCCGAGATTTTGAGAGGAGAATTTTGGGACAAATGCAGATTTTGTTTCTGACTTTGATCAAAGATTAAACAGGGCTTCCCTTGTGGCGCAGTGGCTGAGAGTCCGCCTGCCGATTCAGGGGACACAGGTTCGTGCCCCGGTCCGGGAAGATCCCACATGCCGCGGAGCGGTTCGGCCCGTGAGCCATGGCTGCTGAGCCTGTGCGTCCGGAGCCTATGCTCCACAATGAGAGGCCACAACAGTGAGAGGCCCGTGTACCGCAAAAAAAAAAAAAAAAAAAAAAAAAAAAAAAAAAAAAAAATTTTAAAAAAAAAACTTCTAACAAAGAAAATCTTTGGTTTAAATTTTACTTTAGGAGTAATGTTTTTTAAAAATCCCTTATGATACAATCTCTAGAGTTCTTAGATCAAAGTGGTAGGGTTTTTTAAAGTTTTTTTAAAATAATGCTGGACAATTTTTATTTTTAAATTTTTCAAATACATTATAATATACCTTCATTTAAGGACCATTTTCATTTCTTTTACTGTGATATATTATTTCTTCAGTCAATTTTAAAAAATAAATTGGATTTTTGGTCTTTCTGGATTTGGTCTTACCAATTTTTAGGAGCCTTTTATATATTGAGGAGATTGGCTTTTTATATGTGATATGAGTTACAAATACTTTTCCCCAGTTAGTCTTTTTTGCTTTGTAAAAGATCCCTGTGTTTTATTACCTGAATATATCTTTTTCTGTGGTGTCTGGTTTTTGAGTCATAGGTAGAAAGGGCTCTGTACTCCAGAGTTATAAAAAGGAATTTACCCAGTTTTAGTCTGGAATCTTTACAATTTTGTGATTTATATTTAAATATTTGATCTATTAGGAACTTATGCTTGTGTATGATGTGCAATATGAATCATTTTTTTCCAGATGGGTATTTTAATTGCTCAGGCATCATTCATTATATAGTCTTTTCCTTCCTCAGTTTTGAGATACCTGCTTCATCATTTACCATTTTCTGTTTCTGGACTTTATAATTTGTCCCATTGATCTATTTATGTGCTGTTGCCATACTGTTTTGAGGCTTTATAATATCTAGTAGTGCTAGTTTCCTTCTAATACTCCTCTTTTGGCATTTTCCTGACTTGTCTTATATTTTAATTTTTCTACATGAACTTTAGGATCAGCTTAACCTGTCCCGTAAGCATTCTGGCAGGGCGGAGTGGCAGTGGGGGAGTGGGGTGGTGGGGGGATCACTTTTAATTTTCAGATTAATCTCTTTATTGATGGATGACTCTAACTTGTAGCTTTAATTTAATCTGTCTCTTACAGATGATATTAACCGTGTTCTTGAGCAACAATGAACAGATTTTAACAGAAGTTCCCATAACACCAGAAACAACATGTCGGGATGTTGTAGAATTTTGCAAGGAACCTGGAGAAGGCAGTTGCCATTTAGCTGAAGTGTGGAGAGGAAATGGTATGTATTAGGCTCTATAAAGATGACTAAGTACATGAAATCCAGTGTTTATTGAATACAGAATGTTGTTTCTGGTTCTTTGTTATCTGAGGTAATAAGGAATTGAGTAAAGTAAAAACTGTTCTATCGCATGAGGATAGGATGTTATAAATGCTGTTTGCAAAGAAGTGTGTTCTGTGATTTGACCCTCACCATAGCCATGTGGAAGAAGCTGGGAAAACGGATCCGGTTCTCGTGTGAGGCTTTCTGACATCACTACTGACCAAACGAGAGTTCTCTGTCCACTGAGACCTTACAGTGTTTTGTTTGTTGCATGTCAGATTGTTCATCTGCTTTTCTTCTCCTTACGATAACTTCACGAAGACAAAAACATTATCGTGTTCCCCTGTGTACAAAGCCTTTTAAATAGTAAGTGCTTCATAAATATTTGTTTATTAAGTTGAGAAGAGTTAATACTGGCTCTTACATTTAAGGATTTGTCAGCTAGCTGGGCAGAGATGATCAGTGTAGGTAATATAATTACCGAATACAGAAAATTCTGCAAAATAATGTGGATTCTCATGGAGGTGTGGAATTGAACTGGGATAGGATACACCAGGCGAGGGGAGCAGTGTGAGGGAAGGACAAGAGAAGAGCATGGAGAAGGCATGCTCCTCAGACAGCACTGAGAGGAGGGGCCCGGGAGGGTGGGAACTAGACTGGCAAGGCCACCTGCTCCGGCAGCGTGTGGAAGGAGGTAGCTGTGTGCATGGATGGGTCTGAGTCAGGAAGCAAGAGAGTGGTCAGTTGGAACATGCTGTGTATGAGGTGGGCGTCCAGATGGATGTGTTTAAAGGACACTTGGGGATAATCAGTGAATTCTTACACGTTATAAAAATAATTTTTTAATTGAGGTATAATTGACATACAACATTTTATTAGTTTGAAATGTACTATATAATTATTTGATATTTGTATATATTGTGAAATGATCACAGTAAGTCTAGTTAGCATCCATTACTGCACACAGTTACAGAATATTTTTTCTTGTGATGAGAACTTTTAAGGTCTACTCTTTTAGCAACTTCGAATATGCAGTATGTTTTTTTAAAATTATTTTTGGTGGCGTTGGGTCTTCGTTGCTGTGCACAGGCTTTCTCTAGTTGCAGCGAGTGGGGGCTACTCTTCATTGTGGTGCGTGGACTTCTCATTGCGGTGGCTTCTCTTGTTGCAGAACATGGGCTGTAGGTACGTGGGCTTCAGTAGTTGTGGCACACGGGCTCAGTAGTTGTGGCTCACAGGTTCTAGAGCACAGGCTCAGTAGTCGTTGCTCCACAGCATGTAGGGTCTTCCCGGACCAGGAATCGAACCCATGTCCCCTGCATTGGCAGGCAGATTCTTAACCACTCCACCACCAGGGAAGTCCCTGCAGTATATATTATTAACTCTGGTCACCATGATGTACATTACATCCCCAGTAAGAGTTCTTTATATATTGTAGATACAAGTCCCTTATTAGGTGTATGATTTGTAAATATTTTCTTCCAAAGTCTTGTGCTTTTAATGTTATCCTTCAAATTCAGAGTAAAAACTTTAAGGACACATTGAGAGAAACTTTGATAAATGATGGACTGTTTACTAAAGTAGAAGTAAGAGGCCAGGTCCTCAGCTATCAGTCTGATATCAGCTACAGGAAGAGGGCTGTTAGGTAATTGCAGTTTTTAGAGGACTGATGTTAGAGCCTGGTCATTCCCTCATTGTTTGCTCTTCTCTAGCCTCTTAGCACTCTTGCTTTTTGTGGCTTGCTGTCACTTCTTATTCCTTATCTGCCCCTTATATTAGTCTGGGAGAGCCCCAGTGGTCCCTGGCCGCTTGAGTCACTCAGTTGGTGCAGTCCTTGGCTCCAGGGCCATCTGAAATCATAACCTGTGGTCTAGCCTCATCAGGAATGAGGCCTACCTCCTCGGAGCACAGAGGGTCACAGCCACTGCTCCCACTGTCTAGAGCAGTCCCTAGCACCCACGCACCTTTGCCTCTGCATCCCTTCCTTGAATCTCAGAGTGTGTTAAGGGTCCCTCCCCTTTGCTCCAGTACTGTCATTGTATTTATCAAAACATAGTATGGTAGCTTTCATCTCTCTCTCTCTTATTGGTCTAAAATTCCTGAAGGCAGGAACTTGTTTGTTCACCATCATACCGCCAGTGCCCAGCCTGTTTCTCATAATAGGCCCTGAGTAAACACTTAAATCATTGAGTAAATTGGAGCAGCAAAGCGAGGTCTTGAAGAGATGGTGGTGGATGAGATTCAAACGAAGGGGAAAAAGCACAGTCTTTTTTACCCCAGAGGAACCCTTAAGGTAATGTTCAGATTTAGGAGAACGCTTTGCATAAAAATGATTGCATCCATAACACATGGTATACTCATGTCATCAGTACTCAGAAATATGATACTTCAATGTAATTGTCAGTGCTTTTGAGAAGAGAGTATTTCTCTGTGGATCTGTGTATTAGTTTGCTCAGGCCGCCATAACAAAGTAACACAAACTGGGTGGCTTAAATAAGAGAAATTTATCTTTTCACAATTCTGGAGGCTAGAGGTCTGAGATCAAGGTGTCAGCAAGGTTGGTTTCTCCTGAGGCCTCTCTTCTTGGCTTGTATACAGCGGTCTTCTCCCTGTGTCCTTACATGGCCTTCCGTCTGTGTGTGTCTGTGTCCTAATCTCTTCTTACAGGGACACCAGTCATTTGGAGTAGGGTGCACCCTAATGACCTCATTTTAACTTATTACCTCTTTAAAGATCCTGTCTTCAAATAAGGTCACATTCTGAGGTACTAGGGGTTAGGACTTCAGCATATGAATTTGTGTGTGAAGGGACACAACCCAGCCCATAACAGTGTTAACTTGGCCAGCTTATTATCCTGATCTTTTTGTGGTTCCCTTCCTCAAGTATGTCAGCTCTAATGCAAATCAGGAGTGTAGGTAGGACCTTCAGTTATTCTTTTTGTGAAATTTCCTACTTGATTTTCTTTTTGCCTTATCCAAGAATGGCTGAAAGTCTTATCATAGATTTCTCCATTACATAAGATGCTAATGAGGTATAGTATGCTATTAAGTCTACATGATACATGTGGGGTAGTTTTCTTTTCACTTTAAAACAGAAATACGTTTTAGTTAACCCTTCTTATTTAAAAAAGGTAGTGAAGCTTAGCTTGCTTTTCTTGAAGTTAGTCTTTAAAATTTTTTTATTTATAAAGGGAAACATTTTTTTCAGTAACTGGCTTTAAGGCAAAATTGGAGTTTTAACTTTATAAAGTTATGCTCAGACTTGGTAGATTTAAGTGAAGATTGTAAACTGATTTTAATTAATGTGAAAAAAATTTGTAAGCCAAAGCAATATGAATAAAAATATGGCCTAAGACACAATTTTATGTAAAACCAAGGGACACGATTAGGTTTAAACATGGGCCTCACAGCTATAAAACTACAATATACAAGTTCTTAAAAATCTTTTTTATAGGCCTATATCCATAAAAAGTGTTACTTTCAAAACTAAAAATACGGAATGATATTACTTCATTAGTGTTGAATTTGTGCTTGCTTTTCGTTGTACAAATACTCAGTTCAGAGTTGAACTAAGCACACACAGACTTCATTTTCAACTGAGATGAGATGATTTATGTCCTTGCCCTTGATGTTGGCTGAATAGACAAAGCTTGCCTGCACATGTAGGAAGATGAAACGGCAGCAGCACAATGTGCGCTGCATTTCTATGAATGGTGGGGTTTTCTTCCTTACGGAAGTCTGGCACTTATCTAGGACTGAACAGTAAATCACACCTTGAATGTATGACAAGGCTGCAGCTTGCACAGCTCTTTCTCTTGACTCAGTGTCGGGTTCTCAGGCTGAGCAGGAGGAGCCTCTCGCCCAGGCCTACTCCTGTGTTGAAAGGAGCCAAAATACGGTTCGGTTTTGTCCTGCTCCTCTCCCACGCCAGGCCGTTTGCTGTGAGCCTTGGAACTTGCCGATATCCTTTCTCGCTTTCAAGCACAAGCAGCAGTGGGAACATTTCAAGATTTCCTTTTAATTGAGATAAAATTCACATAGCATAAAAATCCCCATTTTAGTGTACAACTTCGTGGTTTTTAGGACATTCTCAGTGTTGTGCAACTATCTCCAAACTCTGTACCTCCCCATTCCTCCCTCCCCCAGGCAACCACTGTATTACTTTCTGGCTCTATGTGTTTGACTATTTTAGGCATCTCATATAAATTGTATCATATAATATGTGACTTTTTAAAAAAATTGTTTATTTTTAATGTGTGACTTTTTGATCTAGCTTTTTTCTCTTAGCATGTTTTCAGGACTCATCCATGTTGTAGCATGTATCAATACTTAATTTCTTTTTTTGGCTGCAAATATCCATTGTATGATATACAACAGTTTATTTATCCTTTCATCAGTTAATGGACACTTGGGTTGTTTCCACTTTTTGGCTACTATGAATATTGCTGCTGTGAACATTCACATTCAAGTGTTTGTGTGGGCTAGCTGTATTGCCAGCAAGTGCGTTGTCAAGCCTTTATACATCTGATTGCCACCTGTAACATTTTAGTGAATAACAAGATTCGGCCAATTTGTTAATGTGTTTCTTTGAAAGAGTGGGAGGCATACTGCTTCATGATAAATATACTAAAGGACATTTTTTTCACTGTTCCCCATTTAATGTTGCAAAATTGCTTTTATGTTTACTTCTTTGTGTTTACATGTTACCTAAATTATTTCCCCTTCATGGTCTTGTTTTCATTTCATTAAAGTTAAAATTCAGTGCTTGTAATATCCTTGAATTCTAATATATGTGTACATTTATTTTAAATTATTTTTATTCATTTTTTACTTTTGGTACGAGTCATTTTGTTTTTCTGCGAAAAGTAAGGTTTTTTGTTTGTTTGTTTTTTTCCTAGAGCGTCCCATACCCTTTGATTATATGATGTATGAACATCTTCAGAAGTGGGGGCCACGAAGGGAAGAAGTGAAATTTTTTCTTCGACATGAAGATTCCCCAACCGAGAGCAGTGAACAAGGTAGATAAGTGCTTTTTTCCCCCATTTGCTAATTTTTGCCATAAAAGTTAATTTAAACATTAAATTAATTAAAATTAATTTAAGAATTAACAGGAGTAAATATTAAATTAGTCACATGATTTTCCCCCCTTCACTTACAAGTGGTGAGAGGGAGAGTTGGTACCTCACAGGGTTTTTTGACCTCTGTTATTGCAGTTTATGATTATTTCACACTTTCAGCCTCCTCCTCAGGATCCTAAGTTAGTCACGTAATGCAATGAAACATGTAAGGGGACCTGCTGTTGAAAGGGAGTGCTTTTGATAAATATCACATGGATGAAATCTCTAGATTTTAAGAATAAATGAAACCATGAAAGGATCATAAAAATTCTGGGAAATATATATATATTTATATAGTATATATACACATATATGTATATGGAGAGAGAAAGAAAAACAGAAAAATAAGAACAAGACCTAAGTGGGGAGTTCTTTGGTGGCCTAGTGGTTAGGATTCCGGGCTTTCACTGCCACAGCCTGGGTTCAGTCCCTGGTTGGGGAATTGAGATCCTGCAAGCTGCACGGTGTGGCCAAAAAAAAAAAAAAAAAGGAACAAGGCCTAAGTGTAACTAACTCTAAACCATAATAGAAAAGACAAACCGAATTATTAAAATAAAAAACAAAAAAAAACCTCTTTGCATGGCAATAACCACATTAAAGCAAGGTCAAAAGACAAATTATAAACTGGGAAACAGCATTTATAGCTCATATTGCAAAGGGCTAATTTCTTTTACATAAAATGATAAGAAAAAAAACAGTAAAAAAAAATGGACAAAATATACAAACCCGCTGTTCACAGAAAAGGAAATATTCATGACCCGGAAATATATGAAAAGAAGTTCAGCCTTACTCCTAATAAAAGAAATGTAGGAAAAACACTGAGATACTGTATTTCACCTGTCACGTGGCCAAGATTAGAACATTGAATAACACAGTGTTGGCAAGAACGCTGAGAAACAGGGAGTCTTCCACATTGTTGGCAGCTTCTGTAGAGGGCAGTTTGGTGGTATCTATTAAGCTTACAGAAGCATGAAACCTTTCACCCAGCAATCTCACTTTTGAGAATTTATCCTAAAGCTGTGTCTGCACACATACAAAATGACATATACATAGTGTAACTCATGGGCACTGCTGGTAGGAGCAGCTTTCAATGCCTCCAGGGGCGTCGGCTGAAGAAACCGGAGTACATCTGCTCTGTGCCCTGTCCCAAACCACTTCCTGCACTTGTCACTTGAATAAGCACAGTGTACACACATGCTGCCTCCTGTGTAACAGAGATGAAAGAGTAATGACGTATTCTGTGTTGGCTTCTGTGTATGAAATATCTTTGGAACGATAAGTAAGAAACTGGTAACATGGCTAGCCTGTGGGGAAGGCTGCTGGGTAGGGGAAGGAGGGAGGGAAAATTGGTCATTTATATCTTTTGGTTCCTTTTGAATTTTTTTTAAAAATTTATTTATTTTTGGCTGTGTGGGTCTTCGTTGTGGCGCACGGGCTTCTCATTGAGGTGGCTTCTCTTGTTGCAGAGCATGGGCTCTAGGCACGCGGGCTTCAGTAGTTGTGGCTCGTGGGCTGTAGAGCGCAGGCTTAGTAGTCGTGGTGCACGGGCCTAGTTTCTCTGCGGCATGTGGGATCTTCCTAGACCAGGGCTCGTACCTATTTCCCCTGCATTGGCAGGTGGATTCTCAACCACTGCACCACCAGAGAAGCCTGTTTCCTTTTGAATTTTGAACCATAGGAATATACTACTTTTTAAAAAAAAATTTATTGGAGTATAGTACATTTACAGTGTTGTGTTAGTTTCAGGTATACAGCAAAATGAATCTATTATACATATATCCACTCTTTTTTAGATTCTTTTCTCAAATAGGCCATTACAGAGTACTGAGTAGAGTTCCCTGTGCTGTACAGTAGATCCTTATTAGTTAATCTATTTTATATATAGCAGTGTGTATATGTCAATACCAATTTCCCATAAACTACTTATTTTTGAATTAAAATTTAAAATAAGGGAATCTTCTTTTTTGGAAAGCATATACACTGTACAGTTAAGAAAGAAACCTTTGTTATTTAACGGTGATTATGGATTACTTCTGGTATTTAAAAAAAAATAAACAATGAAAGGACATCCTTTTGTAAAAAGAAGATTCCTTTATTACAAGTTATCCCTCTTTATTTATTTTTTGCTGAGCCACATGGCTTATGGGATCTGAGTTCCCCGACCAGGGATTGAACCCACGTCTTCTGCATTGGAAGCACAGAGTCTTAAGCACTGGACCGCCAGGGAAGTCCCTAGCTGTATTTTTTTTTTTTAATATCTATTTATTTATTTGGCTGCTTCAGGTCTTTGTTGCAGCGCACGGGTTCCTCGTTGTAGCGCGCGGGCTTCTCTCTAGTGGTATGCAGATTTTTCTGTGTCTAGTTGTGGTGCACGGGCTCCAGGGCGCATGGGCTCTGTAGTTTGTGGCATGTGGGCTCTCTCGTTGAGGTGCACAAGCTCAGTAGTTGTGGCGCGCGGGCTTATTTGCCCCATGGCGTGTGGGATCTTAGTTCCTTGACCGGGGATCGAACCTGTGTCCCTTGCATTAGAAGGCGGATTCTTTACCCCGGACCACCAAGGAAGTCCCTGTATTTTTAATTAAAGGATATTTTGCCCCTAGGATGAGCTACTGTCTGCTTTAAAATCATCTTCCCATAGCTGTAAATATCATGCTGTTTTTCACAATGCATCATTACTTCTGTTTTTTTTGTTTTTTGTTTTTTTTTGCGATACGCAGGCCTCTCACTGTTGTGGCCTCTCCCGCCGCGGAGCACAGGCTCCAGATGCGCAGGCTCAGCGGCCATGGCTCACGGGCCGCTCCGCGGCACGTGGGATCCTTCTGGACCGGGGCACGAACCCGCGTCCCCTGCATCGGCAGGCAGACCCCCAACCACTGCGCCACCAGGGAAGCCCTACTTCTGGTTTTTATTCCACTGGGTGCTGGTCATCTGGAGTCAGGAGACCAAGACTCCAGGCCTAGCTCTTTATCCATTTCTACCTTAGAAAAGGGCCCTGCCTCTCTGGACGGACTCCTCCTGAGGAGGATTAGACTAGCTGGCAGTTAAAGCGCTGTTCTAGAGCTAAGAATTTACTTTAACTCTGTACCTGACTGCTCCAAATATTCATACCCTATAGTTAAATTAAAAGTTTTATATTTTACTTTAATCATTATAATATATGTACATAACCCTTACTGTCCCAGGATGGTGGAATGGGGGGAAGGTCTTATATTGTTCTCACTCTGTAAAGTCTGGAAGCGTTAGGGATACTTTAGAGAACTGTCTAGAGTTACAAGGAAGGGGACAGCACTGACCTTCCAGTTGACCTTCATTGTCACACCGGATGCTGCTCAGTCTCGTTGTGCTGACGTGGCAAGTACACCTGAGACAGTGGAAGAGCCGGATGCTGAGCTGTGTGAGGTTAAGTAGACAATGCGTCCCAGGGGGATGGGGCTCGAGACGAGGACCTTGAAGAGGGAGTCGGACCTGGAGGGGAGAGTACAGAGCTGCTGCACTGAAGCCAGGGGACCAGGATGAAGGAGGCTCCGAGGGGAGTGGTGCCAGGGAGTACACCTTTCTCAACCCGGGCTGGTATGGAGGGTTGGTCAGGATTGGAAGAACCAAATTCATCACACGACTCTCATCACTTTTCACAACTTTCAGCAAAGTCCCTGCTTCCCTATTTAATACTCCTCAGCTTAGCTTTGATGGCATTTGTAATGGGACCCTGCTCATCTCCTCAACCTCACTGTCTCTTCTTTCTCTCTTCCACCATATTCTTAGTTGCATATTCATTCCCTGTCGTGCCCTAACTCAGAATTCCATCTTCCTGCAGCTGTGATGCTCCACCCTCTTCCCTTTTTCCTCTGCCTGTGCTCCTGCATGTTCTGCCTCTGTCTCAGAGCTCAAGAAGAAAGGTGGCAGCTAGAACAGCTCTCATTGGGTGCTGTGTTGCGTTTTATTTCTGTTCACTGAACTTCTCCTCCAGCTTTGTTTTTTTTTTTTTTTTTTTTGGGGTGGACTTATTTTTTTATTACCTTTTCATCTATTCAGTTGCTGTTGTATTTTTCATTCGACAAGTACTGTGCTTTTGTCTCACACTGGTGCTTGCTATCAGAGTGTTATCACTCAAGAGATCTGCTGTAGGATCTGCTAAGCATCTCCGCAATCAGCAAGTCGGGGGCTACCCTAGCACAAGACCTCTACCCAGGGTGGAAAAGGAGGAGGGTGGGAAAAAGGAGGGCAAGCACTGCTGAGAGTTTTGCGGTACGCGGGTCTCTCACTGCTGTGGCCTCTCCCGTTGCGGAGCACAGGCTCCGGACGCGCAGGCTCAGTGGCCATGGCTCACGGGCCTAGCCGCTCCGTGGTATGTGGGATCTTCCCAAACCAGGGCACGAACCTGTGTCCCCTGCTTCAGCAGGTGGACTCTCAACCACTGTGCCACCAGGGAAGCCCTCCAGCTTATATTCTAAGCAGCCAGAGGTGAAGATCCAAGACTCATGTTTCCTCTCTGCTCCCCACAGAGCTGAGGACAAGCCAGTTGTCACCGATATATATTGTTTAAAAGGAGTTACATTTGAGTATTTATTGCCTGTAGAACTATAAGATATAACAAGAAGTAAAGGACAACCCTGACTTAAAAGAGTAGGAATTCTCTATGTGGAAGCTAGAGGAGAGTGTGGAGGACATTTCCTTCAATCACCTTGTATACCTGGGGGAACAGAAGCTTAATGTGTAAAGTAACTCGGTACAGGTCATGTGCAGAGTGTAAGCTAGAACCCGGGGGCTGGTGTGATGGAGTTTGGAGCGAGGCCTCCTGGGTTCAGCACCGGCCCTGCTGCTTATTCAGTTTGGACCTTGGGCAAGTGACTTCACATCCCTGTGCCTCCGTTTCCTTATGTGCGGGGTACGTTGGGTTGTGGTGGCAGTTAATGAGGTGTCCTGGCGAAGTGCTCACTAAATGTCAGCTCTTATTATTATTTTCTGACTCCAGAATGCAAGATCATCAAGTTTCTTCTTTACCATCAAAGATTAAGTGGCACTTGATATAATTTCAACGTTGTGTGTTTTATAGTATTCTAATTTGATGGCTTGCTGTTTGCAAGAGGCAGCAATGATAGAATATTAAATTAACCCGAGTACCTTATTTCTTAAAAATACTAATAACTAAGAATTTAATTTACCCTGTAAACGGATAGATGCTATAGTCTAGGATGTGTGTATGCGTAATTTCTGCTAATAGGAGATATAATAGCTGTGATGAAATGGCTATTGTATATTATGCGACTGTGTTCGGTGGCATACTCTGTCATTCCCATTTGTTTAACCTCATTTTTCATTATCACCTCCCTAAGGGCCCTTTACTGGATATATTATTCTTACTTGCCCCTGTCTTCCCCCTATCAGATGTACTGTATATCTGTTTATGTACCCAGTAGCTTTGCTTTATACATAAAAAGAGTAAGATTTTTTAAAAAATAAATTTATTTATTTATTTTCGGCTGCGTTGCATCTTCGTTGCTCTGCGCAGGCTTTCTCTAGTTGCAGCGAGCGGGGGCTACTCTTCATTGCGGTGCACAGGCTTCTCATCGCGGTGGCTTCTCTTGTTGCGGAGCACGGGCTCTAGGCGCACGGGCTTCAGTAGTTGTGGCACGCGGGCTCAGTAGTTGGGGCTCGCGGATCCTAGAGCGCAGGCGCAGTAGCTGTGGCGCACGGGCTTAGTTGCTCTGCCGCATGTGGGATCTTCCCGGAGCAGGGCTCAGACCCGTGTCCCCTGCATTGGCAGCTGGATTTGTAACCACTGTGCCATCAGGGAAGTCCAAGTTTTAATTTTTAATAAAAATTAATTGTGGTAAAATATACATAACAGAGAAGAAACTCTGAAGTCTGGCTGTGGGCAAAGAGGCACCACTGGAAGGTGTGCTTCTTCTTGGACCCTCCCCTGCGGTCAGGGGTGCTGCAGCTCCCACCCAGCCTCCAGTCTGGGGCGCAGAGTCATTCTCTGCACGGGGTGCAGCTGGTCAGAGGCTCAGAGCTGACCAGGAGGTAGCCTGTTCCAGCCAGCATTTCATCCAGGACCCAAGAGGGCTCCAGGAACCGGAAGGCGAAGGCCCAGGTCTGAGGACCATGTCCTCAGGTCACAGAGCAGAGGAGGCCCAGGCAGTGCCAGCAGTCAAGGTGAGGTTGGCAGGGGACAGGCCGCCCAGGAGGGGCGACCATCTGAGGCCCGAGAGCACCCCTCAGAAGAAGACCTGCCCATGGTCCCCATCTGTCACCCCTGCCCACACTCCTGTCGGTGGCCCAACCCCAGTCATCAGGCCCCTGGTCCAGATGAGTGAGCTCTGCAAGCCTGAGGCAGACCTTCAGGCCCCAGTCCAGGCCCAGGGCCCAGTGGAGGCGCAGCTGTTCGGGGCTGAGGGGGAGAAGGCTGCATCCCCCTCGTCCTCCTCCTACCCAGTCCATGCCCCCGTCCCAACCCAGGCCAAGTCCTTGTCCCAGGAGGCACTTGGTGTGCTGATGGCTGACCTGGTGGGGTTCCTGCTCCTCAAGTATCGTGCCAAGGAGCCGACCTCCAAGGCGGAGATGCTGAGTATGGTCCTCCGGGACCATCGGGACCACTTCCCCATGGTCTTCAGCCACGCCTGCGAGTGCATGCAGCTGGTCTCTGCCATGGACGTGAAGGAGGTGTGGACCCCAGCAAGCACACCTATGTCCTGGTCCCCACCCTGGGCCTCACCTGGGATGCCATGCTGACCGATGGGCAGAGCACGCCCAAGGCTGGCCTCCTGGTGATGCTTCTGGCCGTGATCCTCCTGGAGGGTGAATATGCCTCTGAGGAGGAGGTCTGGGAAGCACTGAGCGTCATGGGGGTGTATGCAGGGAAGCAGCACTGCATCTATGGGGAGCCCAGGGAGCTGCTCACCAAAGTGTGGGTGCAGGAGGGCTACCTGGAGTACCGGCAGGTGCCCTACAGCGACCCCGCCCACTACGAGTTCCCGTGGGGTCCCCGGGGCCAACATGGAGACCAGCAAGTGGCAGGTCCTGGAGTATCTGCTCAGGGTCCATCGATGGGATCCCAGGTCCTTCCCATCCCTGTCTGCAGAGGCTGTGAGCATTGAGGAAGAGGGGTCCTGAGCCAGAGCAGCAGCCAGGCTCCTTCCAGGCCCACGTCCAGTAGCTTTTCTTGCAGGGCAGGAAGGGAGGCTGATCCTCCACTGTGAGTTTGAAGAGGGAGCAGTCAGCCTTCTAAGTAGTGAGGGTCCGGGAGAGTTAAGGGAACATGGTGTATAGCATCTTTGGGTTCCTGTTGTGTATGATGACATGTTTTCTTTGGGAATTCTTCAAATATTGTTCCTTTTAAAAGAAGGCTTAATAAGCTTCGGTATCTAAGTTTGTGAATGGCATTGATCACACATGTATTTGCGCTAATTCAGTTCAACGACAAGAGTTTTGCTAGTTTGTAAAACAAATTGTAAGATTCCCATATTATTTTGTGATCCTGAACAAGATAACATGGCATTGGAATATGAATCTCTTGGAAATGAGAAAGAACTTTAGAATAAAATTGATGAGGTCAAGAAAAAGAGAAATAAAAGTAAAAGTTAATTCTAAAAAATATACACACACACACACACACACACACACACACACACACAACGTAAATTTTACCATCTTGACCATTTTCTAAGTGTTAGAAACTTTTTGATATAAAGCAATTTCAAAATTCTGAAATAGAATATTAGAAAAAATTTTCATTTAAACAACTTTATGTATACAGGTTGATTATAAGACATTTTTTCAACTGTACTAATTGTTGAGTTGTCCAGCCTGGTGTTTTATACTTGTGTTCAATAAATATTTGAATAAGTGAAGAAATGTTAAAATATCGCTTTTCTAGTATGTCTTTTAGTAAGTTTGGCCTTCATTTCTCTAGGTGGCCATCAGACTCAAGAGCAAAGAACTCAGAGAAATGTAATAAATGTACCTGGAGAAAAACGCACTGAAAATGGGGTAAGTAATAGTGAATTAAATTGAAAAATTTTAATTGCTTTTTATAGGTACTAATGAATTGGGGTTATAATTTATTTTTAAAAAATTAATTTTGGGGTAGTGCTAACCGAAAACAATAAAAGAGCCAATTATTTTACCAGCAAAACAAGTTTATTTGGGAACAGTGAAGAATTGCAATTCAGGACCCACAGCTCTGGACAACCACATCCCAGTCCTCTAAAGCAAGAGGAAACTCTTTTTTAGAGGAGAAGGGGAAGTTGGGAGGGGCTGCTGTCAACAAAAAGTCTGTTGGAGGAACCTGGGAGTTTGAAGTATGGTGGCTTTACATTGGCTGAATTGTTGTCAGGCAAGGGGAGATCGTGTTTCCTGCTGCTGGTGGCAGTGGAATGGTGTTACTTCCTCTGGGGATGCACAGCACATTTCTTCCTGTTGGGATCTGCACCAGTGTCTAGTGGTATGTGTGTGAGAGCTCCCCATTGTGGCTTCCCAACTCCATTTTCCTGAGGTTGCCCTTTATTTTCACAGAAGTTGTCATTTCTGTTGAATATTTCAAACATTTTTATGAAGTTATAAAGTGGCAGTCACTTGAGTGGTAATGGTTTTATCAATCCACACCATGGCCCATGCACTGGATGGTCTCAAGCAGAGCAGTGCCCTCCATATCCGTTACATGTTGCCACCCACAGCATGTCCTGGAGCAGCAGCTGCATGTGTGCCTCTGTGCTCATGACAGTGACCTGTCTCCAGGAAGCAAATGGTCTAGTCTCTAGACTAAGAGATGGGCAGGCAGACTTGCTTTGTATCTTCAGTGTTGATGTCTTGATCCTTCTGTCAGGTCTTAAAAGACAAAGTGGCTGGTGGGTTGAAGTCTTCATAGGTGCCTCCAGGAAAGAGAACTTCCTTTATCATATGGTGTAGAGTTGGAGAATAGGCCTAACATTGATATAGGTGAGGAAGTTTGTCTAAGTAGAAGGGTTCTTTTTTTTTTTCTTTTTTTAATATTTATTTATTTTATTTGGTTGCATCGGGTCTTCGTTGCAGCAGGTGGGCTCCTTTGTGACTTGCAGGCTCCTTTGTTGTGGCACATGGGCTCCTTAGCTGTGGCATGCGTGTGGAATCTAGTTCCCTGACCAGGGATTGAACCTGGCCCCCTGCATTGGGAGCACTGAGTCTTATCCACTGCGCCACCAGGGAAGTCCTAAAGGGTTCTTTTTAAGAAATACATGTTAAAAGAATGAGCAGAAATGAATGAATGAGAGAAGAAGGAAGAATGAGAAATTTTCACCATGGTCTTTTCTGGAAGTTTTAGTAATAAGTTTTCCAAATAATTTTCAGGCTGGAGAATTAGTTTCTTTTTCTGGCTCTGCCACTAACTAGGTGTGTAGCCTTCGGCGGGTCACCCCCTGGCATGTGCTTGGCACAGCTATACACTGGAAAAAGCACCGGCCTGGAGTGCGGAGGGCCCATGCTCAGACACGGCTTCAGAACTTTCTAACTAGCTAAGTCTGAGCAAGTTACTTTGCCTCTGTACTTTCCAACTCGCTATTATTGATTTCCGATTTTATTTCTTTTACTGGCTGCCATTGTGACTTTAAATGATATACTTAAGTCTCTATTTCTTTGTATGATAAACTTTAAACCATGTCTCTGGACCTCCCTTCTTGTAAGATGAGGGTATTAGCACCCCTTCCCTTTTCTCCGTCTCCCCTTCCCTCCTGTCCTACCTTCCAGCTTTTTCAACTGTACTTTTCTTTTTCTTTTTCTTTTTTTTTTGCGGTACGTGGGCCTCTCACTGCTGTGGCCTCTCCCGTTGCGGAGCACAGGCTCCGGACGCGCAGCCTCAGCGGCCACGGCTCACGGGCCCAGCCCCTCCACGACATGTGGGATCTTCCTGGACCGGGGCACGAACCCGCGTCCCCTGCAGCGGCAGGCGGACTCTCAACCACTGCGCCACCAGGGAAGCCCTATGTGCATTTTTTTTTTTTTTTTTGCGGTACGTGGGCCTCTCACTGCTGTGGCCTCTCCCGTTGCGGAGCACGGGCTCGGGACGCGCAGCCTCAGCGGCCACGGCTCACGGGCCCAGCCGCTCCGCAGCATGTGGGATCTTCCCGGACCGGGGCACGAACCCGTGTCCCCTGCATTGGCAGGCGGACTCTCAACCACTGCGCCACCAGGGAAGCCCTATGTGCATTTTTTTTTTTTTTTTTGCGGTACGTGGGCCTCTCACTGCTGTGGCCTCTCCCGTTGCGGAGCACGGGCTCGGGACGCGCAGCCTCAGCGGCCACGGCTCACGGGCCCAGCCGCTCCGCAGCATGTGGGATCTTCCCGGACCGGGGCACGAACCCGTGTCCCCTGCATTGGCAGGCGGACTCTCAACCACTGCGCCACCAGGGAAGCCCCCTACATGCATTTTTAAAGTTAATAAGATGTTAAAAATGTCCTCCAAAAATGTTTTTGTGTATATCCTGGATATAGAATGGTGGCACAGTGAACCTTCTGTCGGTGGGCTGCAGCAACCAGGAGCAGATCCAGCAGCCTGTGGGTTGGAAGAGAAGGACAGGCTGCTGATTTGGTGTGATTCATGCCCATTAGCAGCTGCTGAGGCAGGAGGCTGCAAAAGTTCTGCTCTCCCAAAATTGCAGGTCATGAAGTCAGGTTGTCTAAGAAATAAAGGCCCATGGGCCTCCCTGGTGGTGCAGTGGTTAAGAGTCCGCCTACCTATGCAGGAGACACGGGTTCGAGCCCTGGTCCATGAAGATCCCATGTGCCACAGAGCAACTAGGCCCATGCGCCACAACTACTGAGCCCATGTGCCACAACTGATGAAGCCCGTGCACCTAGAGCCCGTGTACCGCAATGAAGAGTAGCCCCCACTCGCCGCAACTAGAGAAGCCCGCATATGGCAGCAAAGATCCAACACAGCCAAAAGTAGATAAATAAATAAATAAATAAATTTATGTATTTAAAAAAAAAAGAAAGACCCAGATCCCATTGGCAGAACTTTTGATTCAGTCAGTGTGAGGTGGGCCTGGCCTGGAAGACTCCCCATATGACTCTGTTGCCCTGCCAGTTTGGGAACCTCCAGGTTATATGTACACACTGTCATAAATATTTGGAACTTACTTTTCCAACAGAACTTTGAAGATCTTGTTTAACTTTATGGTATAAAGGCAAATTGATTTATTCTCATTGTGTATGCCTGTATCAGGGGTCCCAAGACCACCCCCGGTGTCAGTGATTTGCTTAGAGGACTCACAGGGCTCAGCATTATGGTTGTGCTCACGGCTGCAACCTCCTCCAGTCAGAGGACACAGAGCAAGAGCAGCAGAGGGAAGAGGGGCACAGGGTGACATCTGAGGAAACCAGGCTCCCAAGAGTCCGCTCCCAGTGGAGTCACACAGGATGCACTTAATTCTTCCAACAGCTAATCGTGACACGTGTGAAATGTCTGCCAGGGAAGCTCGTCAGAGCCCCAAGGCCTGGGGTTTTATTGGGAGCTGCTCATGTGGGCAGCCTCTGTCTAGCAAGCACCAAAACTCCAGACTCCCAGAAGGAAAGCAAGCATTTTACTTAGGTGTCCTGAAAGTATCTATACTTCTTTTCTGTTTTCTCAGCCAGTCAGGCTAAATCTGAGTCCGTTTCTGCTTTATTCCTCTACATCCACTGAGTTGCCAAGGCCAGTTGATCCTACCCCCACCCCCCATATTTCCTTCTAAGAGCTTTATAGTTTTAGCTCTTATATTTAGGTCTGTGGTCCATTTTGAGTTAATTTTTGTGTATGGTATGAAGTTGGGGGGCCAAGTTTATTCTTTTGCATGTAAATATCCACCTATCCCAGCACCATTTGGTGCAAAGACTATCCTTTCCCCACTGAATTGTCTTGGCACCTTTGTCAAATCAATTGACTGTATATGTGTTTGTTTGTTTGTGGAAGCATTTATTATTAATATGCTCACTTAGTCTCCTTGTTTTCCATATGGTACCCAGGACTCAGCTGGGACTGTCATCTCCCAGGCCAGATAATGTTTCAGTTGTCTAGAGAATAAACTTCTAGACTTCTGCCAGGGTAAGAGAGAGGCAGTCACCTAGATCATAGAGTTGGGGAGGAGATCTAGGGATTTTACTGCTTCTTAAATATCTTTCGCTCAGTTTGCTTTATTTTAGGTGCCTTACATTTCGTCCCCCTTTCCAGAGATACATAGTTTTGCCAATTCCTGAGCCCTTTGAAGGTTCTGTGATATAACTGGTTTCTTCATCCAATTTCATCTCTTCTCTCTTGAGGTTTGTCTCAGATCTACTAGGTCAGTTACGTCTCATCCATTCTCTCTCCAGCTTCCAAACATTCTTGTTGTCTCCATTCCTGTTATCCTGTTTTTGTGGTTTTATATTATTTGATGTCAAAAATCCCTTTACTGTCATATAATGGTTTTGAGATTTAATGAAATTAGGATTAAATGATTCTCTGTTTTGAGCAGAAGAACTAAGTGTACATTTCTGTTAATTTCTCCTGTTGGGATTTGTTGAACTTAACTGATTCTGAGGATTGGCATCTATCAACATAGCTGGAAAGTTCTCTACTCTTATCTCTACAGGTATTTCTTCTTCCACATTCTTTCTTTTTTCTTCTCTGGAACTTTGATTAGACATGTTATATCTTTCATTTTATCCTTAATTACTCTTTTATATTTTCACTTTCTTTGTCTCTTTGTACTGTGTTCTGGATAATTTCTTAAGATACATTTTTCAGTTAATGAATCCTGTCTTTCACTGTGTTTATTTGGATGTTAGTACATATAATATGCTTTTAGTGTTACTTGTTATGAAAAGACAAGGCACAGTGTGGGAGAAAATACTTGCAAATACTATACCTGATAAGGAGCTATATTCAGAATATAAAAAGAAATCTCAAATCTCATTAAGAAAATAAAACAGTTTTAGAAGAAGCAGGCAGAATATTTGAATAGATGCTTCACTAAAGAAGGTATATGAATGTCAAGTAA